AATATGTACAACTTATGAAATGAGGTTGTGGTTGAGGTTCTACAAATTGTTTTCCTGAATAACCACCACACATTTGTAGTCATCCATGAAAATATGTACAAAATATGAAATGCGGTTGTAAATTTAAGAACTGTGTTCCTATTATTTTTTCTGTTGATTGAGAGTCTACTTTTTTCTTAGAAAAAAATAAGAAATTATTTTTTATGAATTGTTTCCTAAAAACCATGAACTGAGGTTCTACAAATTGTTTTCCTGAATAAAAATACGAAACGAAATTTTGAGAAAAAATTAGTAGAACTTCAGTTCCTATTTTTTTCTTTATGGAATATCAACATTGAACTTTAGATTAATAATAAAACACGCATATACCCCGACGTCCAACCAATGTCTAATATTTAAATATTAATACAAGAACAACAACAATGCCAACAATAAATATTTATATATTTATTTATTGTTATCTGGATAAACAAATATCTGTGTGTGCGCATATGTTGCATGTAAAAGCCAGTAACTTGTATTTTATTTTATCTCAAAAAAACAGTAGCAATAACAACAAATGGCTTGTAATGCAAATGGTATTCGAACAAGAATTCCACATTTTATTTGGTAAATATTTTCATTCATAAAAAAACGAAAGTAAAAGACAAATGAAAAATAAAATAAAAAAATATTTAAACAATAAATAAAATATTTATTTCAAGATAGGATAAGGGATCGCTGGCTGGCTGATACAAAGACTTTGCAGCGGATAATAACATTAATTTACAATAAATTATATTCAGATTTATATTTAATACGGAAAAAATTGTCGCTGTTGTTGTCTTAATGAGGTTTTCCAAATATTTGAACTTTCCACACAGAGTTTATTCTTCATAGTCATCGTCTACTTCTTCTTGTATTTATTTGAACCTTTTGATTGTCCTCTTTTATTTTTGATTAAACTGTCATTTAAAGTTGTCTTCGTGCGGCTGGCTGACATGTTATTCTTTTTTTTCCTCCTCAAAGTGTCAAGCATAAGGCATGAAGATAAAATATATATCACGTCTTATCGGTGGTGTAATGTCAAACGTATAGAATTTTGCATAAAAATGGCGTTCGGAAATTTCACCCTTTCAAAAAAATGTTTTTGAAGAAAATATACAATGTTTGTAAAATGTCACACATAATGAGTTAAGTCTTTCTTTCATTGGTTTCTTTTGCGTCAGATAAATTCGTCTCCTCAAAATTGCTAAAATAAACAAGATTTATCATAAATTTCTGTTTATGGAAAATAAAACACCTAATTCAATGGAATTTGGCTAGCCACTACATATTAAAAATTCCATGATATTAGGAATTATGTTGATCAAATATTTAAAATATGAACATGTGACTTAATTTGGAAGAACAAATTCTAAAACCGAAGTTTTGAAAAAAATTCATATAGCTAAATGTTTGAAGAACCGCAGTTTTGATTTTTATTATTTTTTGTATAGTCCGTTTTTTTTTCAGGAGAAAAATTAGGAAATTCGGTTTTACGATTTTTTATACTAAAAAATAGGAATTTTGTTCTTTGATTATTTTTATTTTGAAAATAATAAGAACTGCGGTTCTACAATTTCATTTCTGTAGACAAAAATTACAAACTGTGCTCTTCGAAGTTTTTTATAGCTAAATAATCAAAAACATCGATCCAAAAAATTATTTTGTAGACCAACAATTAGGAACTTTGTTCCTAAAACTGTTATTATTATGAAAAATTATGAACTACCGCTTTAAAATTTTTGTCCATAAGGAAAATGTTAAGAAATTCTGTTGTACAATTATTTTTCTTTAGGAAAAAACTTAAGAACTGCCGTTCTAAAATTTTTTTCTAAAAGAACGAGTTAAGAACTGCTGTTCCACAATCTTTTTCTTCTATGAAAAATTAAGAACTTTGTTCTTGAATTTTTTGTATAGAAAAAAATTATGAACTGAGAGTTCCTCGTCCCATATTTTATTCTATTAGGAACTATGATTTTTTGACATAGAAAAACTAGGAACTGCGTTCTTTGAATTTTTTCTATGAAAGAGTAGGAAATATGTTCTTTCTTAAGATTTAGGAACTGTGTTCTTTTTTATATAGAAAAAAATCTAAGACCATTAATTCCATTAGACAATGTTAAAGTTCATTGAAAATTCATTTAATTGAAAATTCAATTTTGAAATTATTTTACCAATTGGATATTCAACAGTAGCTTAAATCCCGCCCACACACAAAATTTCAATATCTCATTAATTCATTATGCGGCTTTGCTAACTACCCAGCCAGCCTCACTCTGTCTGTCTTATGGAAATCATGCTGAGAATTTTATTTGTTTAACAAATTACGGGGCCAGTAGCCAATGTAATTAATATTTAACACACATATTCAGCATATTATGAATCGCCATATTTTGTTTTTAGTTTTTTTTTTCGGTACCAAACCAAAAGCCTATTTGAAATTAAAACCCCTTTTGTTTTTTTTTTTAACTCCGCATTGGCCAAGGTGTGATTTTTGTTTCATTAAAACGCGATTTAATTGAGCAGAACCAAGCTCACAGCGGGCGGGCAGGCAATTGCAATGCAAACAAAATTATAATAATTTAATTTTTTTTGTGTTATTATTTGAAACAAAAGCAAAGAAACAAGGAACTCAATAAACAAAGTAGATGAAAAGAGAGGTAAATAACAACAAAAAATAATTACAAAATTACTCTGGTTTTTTTACTTCATATTTTTTGTTATTATTATTGTTGGTAGTAGTAAGAAAATAGGTGAGAAGAAGGAAACCTGATAATCACTTTAAGGCTGGCTTGACTTTGGAATATTGAAATATTTTTTTTTTCTTTTTCTTGTTATTATTATTTAAACAAATTGTGCATAAATTATTAGTTAATGCCTTTTTTTCTTCTTCTTTGCTCTCTCATAATTCATTATTTGTTTGGGCCTTTTCTTTGTATTTCAACAAAAAATCCAATTTGTTTTTATTTTCTTTTGTTGTACTACTGTCGATATAAAATTTATATTTTTTTGTTTTGTTTAATTTCCATTTGTTTCCAGTTGGGCCGCATAAATGTCTTATTAACACGCCAAATTAAATTAGGCATAGAATTTAATAATTAGAGAGAAAAGGGTATGGGGGAAAAGGGACAGATAATTTGAGATAAGTTTTAAGAAACTAGAAACTTATTTTTGAAAGGAGTTAGAAACTACGGCCACTTGTATATAGAAATCATTCCTTAATGAAAATGTTGCAATGTTTGGTGCATACTTTTAGGCTAAATAATACGAAACAGCTGAATGTACAATAAATTTTTGAAGAATACTTTTCTTAGGACAGAAGGATTTGAAATAGAGAAGTTTTAAGAAACTTGAAACTTATTTTTGAAAGGTATTAGAAACTGCGTCCGATTGTATATAGAAATCAGCCTTTAATGCGAATTTTGCAATGCGTGGTGCATACTTTAAGGCCAAATAATACGAAACAGCTGAGTGTAGAATAAATATTTGAAGAATATTTTTTACGAACAGTAAATGTTTGGCTTTCTAAAAGGGATTTTCAGGAAATATATATTTTTCAAGGACTATCAAAAGCGTCGATTGCGTAAAAATATTTTCAGGGGGATGTTTTGAATACAGTTCAGTCTATAATAAGAATTCTATACAATGTGTGGTGCATACTTTTAGACAAAATGTGAGAACAATGTGATAGGCATGTATTTTTAAATGTATTTTTTAGGGCTTATTATAGCTTGGATTTTTAATGAAAAATGTTTCAGGTCCTGTGAAAGCTTCCTTTCAAACGAAAATATTTTTAGGGACAAATATAAATATAAGCCTTTGGAAAATATTTCTTCAGAGACAAATTAAAGTGTGGCTCTTTACAAAATATTTTTCAGGGACCAATACATGACTTGGCAATTTTTTCAAAGACCAATACAACGCTTTAATTTATATAAAGAATTTTCTTAAAGGCATTATTGTAAAAAATAGGGGCCTTGTTTTTACAGAATATTTATCATGGACCAGAACAAAATCACAAAAATGCGGAATTTTGTATAGCATTCCTTTAAAACTTTTTCTTTAAAATTGCAGCCACCTGAATAGCATTTTGAGCCGAAAATATTCAATACAGCTCAGCGGAATTTATTTTAACTTAGCTGAAATAAGTTTTTCTTTTTACAAAACTTCAATTCAGCTTCGCTTAATACACAATTATCTAGGAAATATTCAATTCGGTATTGTTGAATTTAAATTCCACTACTAAATCTTCAATTCAGCACATTTTAGTTCAAAGTTTTCGCATAAAACTTTATTCCAGCCCTTTCGAATTTTTGTTTTGGTAAGGGTACTTCTATTCAGCCCAGCTGAATTAAAATTTTCCATGCAAAAAATCCTTTTAGCCTAGATGAATTAATGTTTTTGTACGAATTCTTCAATTCAGCCCAGCTGAAATTATTTTCTGATATGGGAACATAAAATCAGCCTAGCTGAATTTAGTTTTATCTTATAAAAATCTAATTCAGCTTAGTATCAACATTTTAAGTCAGCATTGATATGTTCAATATTTTTTTGTATAAAATTCAATTAAAAGTAGCTGAATTAAAGTTTTTCTACGAATTCTTCAATCCACCTTTGCTGAATTCACTTTTAGCTTGGAAAACATTAATTCAGCCTAGCTGAATTTAATTTTTTCTTATAATTCAGCTTACCTTATTTTCAAGGGGTTTTCTTTGATAAACTTCAATTTAGCCCAGCTGAATTAATTTTTTTTAAATCAAAAAATGCACAATTCTTTCTGAAATACAATAATTTCAAACTAGCTGGATGACATTTTAATCACTGCAGCCCTGCTGTATTCGAAATTGACCCAACAATCTTCAATTCAAGCCAGCTGAATTCGAAATTGACCAAACAATCTTCAATTTAACCTTGCCGAATTCGAAATTGACCAACTAAACTTCAATTCAGCCTAGCTGAGTTCTAAATTTACCAACCAATCTTCAATTCAGCCCAGCTGAATTTAAAATTGACCAAGCAATCTTCAATTTAACCTAGTTAAATTTGAAATTTACCAACCAATCTTCAATTCAGCCTCGCTGAATTTAAAATCGACCAAGCAATCTTCAATTCAACCTAGCTGAATTTGAAACTGGCCAGCCAATCTTCAATTCAGCCTAGCTGAATACAAATTTTCTTACAAAATTGCAATTCAATCTAGCTAAATTTGAATTTATCTTAGCTGAATTTGATTTTTTCTCACAAATTATAAATGTAGCTTGGCGGAATTGGTAAAAATGTTGATAAATTATCCTTGTAAACCTCATTTCAGCCTAGCTGAATGTAAGTTCTTTTCTTAGAAGTCTTCATTTCAAGCTCCCCATGTAATTTTACGAAAAGGGTTATTACTAAATTGATGTTACTTCTTAAGAACATTTCTTGTAAAATTTTGCAGCTGCCGTATCCTTGAAGCGGACCCCCCATTTCGATGTAAAATTCAGTAGTAGCTTCCTTTAGCACATTTCATCGAATCATTTCTCCCCTACTCTAAAAATGCGTTCTGTTCTGTGTTTTGTTCCCTTTCAATTAATCACTTAATTTTCACATCCGAATTGACATAAATTGTAAATCGATGCAATTGACCGCAATTTGGCGTGTGCTTTATGTTTCATTTCGCTTTTTTGTGAAACAGATCATACTTCGCATATGTATGTGACTCTGTCTGTCTGTGACTCTCATTGTTATTGGTTCTTCGTTTGACAAAAGATCCAGCCAGCATTTCAATTTGATCTCTGGCAATTGATCTGATCACAAGTGACACATGGCTTGAGGTTCAGTTTTGTGTCTGTTGTCGTCTGTCTCCAACCATTCAGTCAGTCAGCCAGCCAGCTCGGTCTCTGGCTTTTGTTGCGATCAATGGAATCGGTCCAGACCACCACCACGAAGCACTACGCCATTGAAAATACCGCATTTGCTTATTTTATTCTAAGTTGTTTGGTTGGTAGGTAGGTTGTTCGGTTGATTGGTCGGATGGTTGGCTGTTCGATTTGAAAAGAAGGGGGGTTTGAAGTTGGAGCTGTATTGCAATTTTTCTGTGATGTCGTTACAGTTTGTTAAGTTTAAATGCGGCTTAAATGCCAATTTGCGGTCCGTTCCTATGTCTGTCTGTCTCTCTGTCCGTCTGTCTTCGGATTTCATACGTAAATAAACGTTGTGTACTTTGTTTAACTGTCATTTACATTTTTGCTGTTGTTGTTGCTGTCTCTGATTTCTTTGGGCCTTTTTGATGGCAAGAAAAGAAACCGCACAAAATGCAAATTTGTTTGCAATACAAAACACAACGAGAAAAGAGACAGACAGCCGGACAAACACACACTCATATATTAACATGAAGGAATAAAAAAAGATGGAGAACAAAGTTTAGTTAAACATTAATTGTGACAAATGATGTTTAAGCCAATATAAATCTAAAATGACAAGTGCGATTTAGCTTTGCAACAATCTGTTGGCAATCGACCACAACAACATCGAGAATAACTGATTGGGTCAAGGTTTCTTTTGCGACAATATTCACAGATGAGTGTAGTAATTTTTTGTTACAGAAAAAAATATTTAAAAAAAAAAATAATAAAATAAATTAGTTGTGGGTGGCAACATTGCCTAAGAAATCCAATGAGCTGTAAATTGTATTGATTGATTGAAATTGTAATTAAATTGGATGCTAATATTTTAGCAGTTATTTAAAACCCAAAAGCCAATATTATTGCGAAATAAATGCTGCGACTTTTTGTCGTTTCAACTGAGAAACATATTCTTCGGAACTTTACAAAAAATATGAATTTTTGAGACTTTAACGAAAATAGAAAAAAGTCGCCTAAAAGTATACACCACACTCCTCCTCATACGTTTGAATTTTTTTTTAATACCTGCCCTTGGAAAAAATTTTCTTTTTATAAAATTATAGAGAATTTAAAAGATACTTCCTGTAACATTTCCAAATCAAAAAACGAAAATAGAAAAAGTCGCCTAAAAGTATGCACCACACCCTATGTTATTCTAGACATGCTGTTTTATGCCAGTCTTAGAAAAAAACACAAGCGTGTATTTTTTTAAATATTTTTCATGGGCCAATACAAGACATAGATTTTTTAAATTATTTTTAAAATGTCTAAAATTTGACCTTGAAAAAATTGAGAATTTTTAATAGAATATTTTTTCAAAACCTAAAGGAAGACTTAATACCAGGCGTGGATTTCTTAAAAGAATATTATTTCAAGGGCCAATACAGGCCGTGGATTTTTTAAAGCATATTTTTTCATGGGCCGATACAAGGCGTGGATTTTTAAAAGAATATTTTTTCAAGAGCCAATACAAGGCGTGGATTTTTAAAAGAATATTTTTTCAAGGGCCAATACAAGGCGTGGATTTTTAAAAGAATATTTTTTCAAGGGCCAATACAAGGCGTGGATTTTTAAAAGAATATTTTTTCAAGGGCCAATACAAGGCGTGGATTTTTAAAAGAATATTTTTCAAGGGCCAACACAAGGCGTGGATTTTTAAAAGAATATTTTTTCTAGGGCCAATACAAGGCGAGGATTATTAAAAGAATATTTTTTCAAGGGCCAATACTAGGCGAGGATTTTTAAAAGAATATTTTTTTTTCAAGGGCCAATACAAGGCGAGGATTTTTTCAGGGTCCGAAATTAAAAAAAAGTACAAGTTTTGGTAAAAATGGTCTGAAAATGATTTCAAAAAATATCCAAGGGTTGTCAGGTCCCGAATTATCAAAGGAATTATTCAGGTGTTGTCTGGTCGTGATTTGAAAAAATAATGTTTTATCAGAGAGTCGATTTTTTAAAGCATATTTGTTAATAGATTTTTTAATTTTTAAAAATTCAATTTCTTCAGAGATTTTTTCCAGAACCTTTTGACTTTATATTTCGATTTTTTAAAAGAATGTTTTTAAATACCCATAGAGTGTAGATCCGTAGAGGGTAGATTTTTCTAAATAAAATTTTTTGAGGAACCCATAGAGCGTAGATTTTTTAGAAGAATATTTTGAGGAAGCCATAGAGGGTAGATTGTTTAAAAAATATTTGGCAAAGACCCATAGAGGGTAGGTTTTTTAAGAATATTTTACAAGAACCCATAGAGCGTAGATTTGACATTGGGCGTTGAATTTTTAAAATAACATTTTTTCATGAGCCCTTAGACTGTGAATTTTTTAAAAGTAAGCCCATTGATGGTAGATTTTTTAAGGAATTATTTTACAAAAATTTAAAGGGCGTAGAAATTATTGAAGGTTATTTTTTTAAAGGACCCAGTATGGGTAGATTTTATATAGAATATTTATATTTATTAGAGATTTTTTAAAGAATATTTTTTAAGGATTGTTCGAAAAGGGATTTAAAAAAATAATTTTGAGGACCTATAGCATGTAAATGTCTTAAAAAATATGTTTATGGGCCCTATAGAAAGGTATGTTTTAAATATATTTTTTCAAGGACCCACTAAGTGTAGCTTTTTATATCGCTCTAGTGGTTGACCCTTTTTCCCATCCAACAAAAGTAGGTCAAATTATTTTATTATGTTTTATTTTTTTCCACCCGATATTTTAATGATCTTATCCTTTTTTGATGTTCCCTTTTAATTTGCAACCATCATCATCGTTTGAAAAAACATAACTCCTTAAAGCAATATATTTCCGTTTGACTATGGGCTGGCTTATTAGTGCCGAAACATTTGTCAACACATTAGCGCCCTTTCACTTTGCTACATAAATTTGGCCAAAAGCATAGTTGTTTGTTTGTTAGGAGACCTCATTACCAAAAAAAAAAAAAACAACAATGTTGTGCAAAATTCGATTCGAGGACTTCTTTCTTGTTGTTATTTGGGTCATTTCCGTTTAATAACAATTGTACCTTGGACAATGTAATAATTCCAATAACATCGCGAACAACTAACACTACAACTACCTGTCTGCGGGTCCTCTGCCCGCATTATTATTATTTTTGTCAGTATTTCCTTCGGGATTTTGTTATCGATTTTTTGGGTTAGTTTTTTTGTTCGTTTTTTTTTTAATTTTAATGTTTTTTATGTTCGATGTTCTTGATGTTCGGTGTTAGTAAAATTAGTTCAAAAATGCATTACCTCTCTGGTGGCTTGATTGATAGGCATCTGTAATTAAAAAGAGAAGAGAAAAAGGGGAGAATTAATATATTAATATTTTGTATTTTATTTTAGAATATCGTAACAAAACAAAATTTAAAAAAAAAAAATATTTTTTTTAATTTTTTCTTAAAGGAATTTATCAAAATTAAGGAAATATTGGAAATATAAAAATTAGTTCCCATTTCAAAAAATTCCGCCTTAGCTATTTTCTCTTCTAATTTATTTATAATTTTTTTTTAATATTGCATTCTGCATTTTAAATAAAATTGGTGCGAATTTTTTCAAACTTTCAAAAAGTTAGTTTCCCCGTTTACACGTGTCAGCGTATATTGAAAAACTTTTTTTGATTTCCATTGTTGGCATTTGAAACGCACAAGAAATGCATTTTTAAAACCAATCATTATATTTGCATTTGATAGCGGAAAGAAAGGGTATGACAATAATGGATTGATAAAATTTATCAAAACTAAACCAAGGTCCATAAACATGTTTAATAGTTTTAAGAACTATCAGCAGGCGCGGATTTTTTAACAAATATTTTTAAGGACAAAAAAAGGCCTCTCCATAGGCTTGGATTTTTTGAAATATTTTTTAGCCAACATGGCGTGGGTTTTTTAAAAATGTTTTTTCAACGGCTATAAAGACTCCAACGCCTTCAGAAGGTCTATAAAGACTTAATTGCATTACGCTCTCATTTTAAATCTTCCAGCTTCAGTCTATAAAGACTAACAGCCCTTCATCCCTTCCAAAAAGATTTCCTGGCCTTCAACTCGTCAAAAAAAATATTCAAAATATGTCTATCCTTCAGCTCATCTATCATGATTACCTAGTTTCACTTCGTATATAAGGACATCCGTGACCTTCAATCAATTGTAAACCAGTAAGGAAAGTAGTAAAGTCGGACTGGGCCGACTATATGATACCCTTCACCACTTTGGGTATATTTTACATACGTATCCTAACAGACGACGCGTTTTGTTATTTATCTATATCTGAACCGATTTCAGGGAAACTTGCCAGAGACTAATTTATATAACGTCAGTACGATGTGTCAATCGGCCTAGCTAGGGATCTTTTCTCGAAGCTTAGCAACATCATTCTAGACTTAATTCAGTATCCTATACCAAAATTCGTGCAAATCGAAAGATATATAGGGTCTTTGGTCCAATTACCTTAAATCGGACGAAGATATATATGGGAGCTATATCTAAATCTGAACCGATTTTCACGAAACTTTGCACACATCATTCTATACTTAATTTAATACGCTGTGCCAAATTTCGTGCAAATCGAAATCATTCTAGGCCTAATTCAGTACGCTGTGCAAAATTTCGTGCAAATCGAAAGTTATTTAGGGACTTTGGTGCACCATTTACCTTAAATCGGACGAAAATATATATGGGAGCTATATCTAAATCTAGACCGATTTTCTCGAAACTTGACACACGTCATTCTAGGCCTAATTCAGTACGCTGTGCAAAATTTCGTGCAAATCGAAAGTTATTTAGGGACTTTGGTGCACCATTTACCTTAAATCGGACGAAAATATATATGGGAGCTATATCTAAATCTGAACCGATTTCAATAGGGTTCGTCCTTGGGCCAAATGAATGAGCTATGCCAAATTTCATCCAAATCGGATCATAAATGTGACCTGTACTTTTTTTGCAATTTAACATGGACAGACGGACGGACGCACAGACGGACATGCGTAAATTGACTTAGAAAGAGAGATAAGCATATTATCAAAAGGAACCATGGGTCTATCTCGATTCCTTTTGCCTGTTACAAACATATGCACAAAGACATAATACCCTGTACCACAGTGTGATGAAGGGTATAAAAAAACTCCCGTTCCTTTAAATTGCCTGCAAACCTTCCTGATGAAAGCCATCTTGGCCTTCGGGTCGTTTTTTAAAACTCACTGACTTTCAACTCATCTATTAAATCTTAACCATTCAGTACGTCTATAAGGTATCCCTGCACTAAAGGCATATTTAAAGCTCCCTGTTTTTCAACTCTTATATTATAACTCCCTGGCCTCTATTAGTCTTATAAATACACCCTGTTCTTCACATCGTTTTTAAAGATTATTCTACTTATGAACAAGACTACCCTTTAGGTCTATTATATTTCCAGCTTCAGTTCTTATAGATTTCCTTCCGTTTGCTTATGAGGACATATTGTCCGTCAAATTTTCTATAAAGACGTCCTTTCTTACTTTCTGAACTTTGCTAGTCCGTAAAATCTTCTTAGCATAGTCGAACCTATAGATATTTCTTGACTTACCGCTTGTCTACCATGCCTGCCTTCAGCTTGTCTATAAAGAAAACCTTCTTCGTTACCACTATAAAGGCTCCACGTTTATGGTCTGCCAATATTCGCTGTATTTTAGCTTGTCTTACTATCCTTCTGCTTTGCTATAAATACTCCCTGACTTCCAACTTGTCTATAAATTTTCCTGACCTTCAGCTCTATCTATTATTACACCCTTAACTCCTATAAATATCCTTCTAGGACTTCAGCAGTTCTGCATGAACCCCCCATGCCTTTCGATAGTTTCCCCGTTTTTCAGCTTTCCAGAAATAATTCCTGTCCTTTAGCCCGCCTATAAAGACTCTAGATACCTACCCGATCTTCAGCTCGTCTATCAATACACTCTAGCCTTTAACTCGCCTATATAACCTTCTTGGACTGCACCTGGTATAGAAAAAACACCAAGCCTTTGGCTCTGTCTACACAGAATTTCTGCTCTGCAGCTCACCTACAAAGAGTTTTTTTTTTTGGATTCCAACTTGTTTACTAAGACTTCATTGTCCTTCAAATCGCCCATATCGACTCCCACTCAGCTCATCTATAAAACTGATAATCATTAGCTCGTCCATTAAACAGTCTTGAACTTCAGCTGGTGTAAAATTACCTTCAGATCTTCGGCTCGGTTTATACATTACTCTCTGGATTCCAACTGCCCTACAAATTTCCTAGTCTTCAACTCGTCTAGCAAAACCGCTTTCAGCAGACCCAGCAGTATTTAAGGAGAGACTACCTCTACAGGGGATGTCCTTCAGCTCTTCTATGACTCAGTGGATTTCTGTTGGTCTATAGCTCGCCTATAAATGTTTCCTGCCTGTCTGAATGAAGGCTCCCCGGTCTATAAAGAAACGAGCCCTTCATCACGTCTATGAAGAACCCCTTCAGTTCTTTTATGAACGGGTCTCTGATTTAGCTCGTTCGTGAAAATAATTTCCATGCTGCGGATCTCTTATTCAAATGAACCGAACATTCAAATTATGTAATATAGGTTGAGTCTCATATGTGGGTATTTTTAAAAAATACTGGTTTATAAATCCGCCCTGTGCCAATAACTGTAACTGTACATTTATATCCAAGATTTTCTTCAAAAAAATGCGCCTCCAAAATACCTAAAATGCAGCGGGATCTTTATATGGGACTACATCAAAGTAAACACCTTTATTTAATATTTTCTGCTGAGAAATTTTAAAACGATAAGAAACGCCGGCTTTAAAATGGAATCAAGTAGCCAACAAGGCGTGGATTTAAAAAAAATTAAGGAGTTAAACAGCCGGGGATTTTTTTAAGGAGTATAAACAGGCGGATATTTAAAAATATGTTTCCAAGGGCTATCAACTGGGGTGGATTTTTTTAAAAATATGTTTTCAAGGACTGTCAACAGGCGTGGATTTTTATACCCTTCGCCACACTGTGGTACAGGGTATTATATCTTTGTGCATATGTTTGTAACAGACAAAAGGAAACGAGATAGACACATGGTTCCTTTTGAGAATATGCATATAATCACTTTTTAAGTCGATTTATGCATGTCCGTCCGTCCGTCCATCTGTCCGTCTGTTGGTGTTAAATTGTAAACAAAGTACAGGTCGCATTTATGATCCGAATTGGATGAAATTTGGCATAGGTCACTTATTCGGCCCAAGGACGAACCCTATTGAAATTGGGAAAAATCGGTTCAGATTTAGATATAGCTCCCATATATACATATATTTAACCGATTCAATGTAAATGGTCCCTATATATCTTTCGATTTGCACGAAATTTGGTACAGCCTAATCATTTAGGTCTAGAATTATGTCTGCAAAATTTCATGAAAATCGGTCCAGATTTAGATATAGCTCCCATATATAGTTTCGTCCGATTTCATGTAAATGGTGCATCAAAGTCCCTATATATCCTTCGATTTGCACGAAATTTGGCATAACGTTCTGAATTAAGCCTAAAGTGATGTCTGCCAAGTTTCGAGAAAATCGGTCCAGATTTAGATATAGCTCCCATATATAGTTTCGTCCGATTTCATGTAAATGGTGCACCAAAGTCGCTATATAGCTTTCGATTTACACGAAATTTGGCATAACGTACTGAGTTGACCGTAGAGTGATGTCTGCCAAGTTTTGAGAAAATCGGTTCAGATTTAGATATACCTCCCATATATAGTTTCGTCCGATTTCATGTAAATGGTGCCCCAAAGTCCCTATATATCTTTCGATTTGCACGAAATTTGGCATAACTTACTGAATTAAGCCTAAAGTGATGTCTGCCAAGTTTCGAGAAAATCCGTCTAGATTTAGATATAGCTCCCATATATAGTTTCGTCCGATTTCATGTAAATGGTGCACCATAGTCCCTATATATCTTTCGATTTGCACGAAATTTGGCATAACGTACTGAATTAAGCCTTGGGTGATGTCTGCCAAGTTTCGTGAATATTGGTTCAGATTTCGATATCGCTCCCACATATAGTTCCGCCAGATTTTATGTAAATGGTGCACCAAAGTTGATATATATCTTTCGATTTGCACGAAATTTTGCATAGCTTACCGAATTTAGTCCGGAATGATGTGTGCCAAGTTTCGTTAAAATCAGTTGAGATTTAGATGTAGCTCCTTATATTATAGATGGATTTAAGTAATTGATGCCCCAAGGAACCAATATATTGCTGATAGAACAAAACGTACTGACGTACCAATTTT